TTATTATTATGTTAAAGGTAAATCCCATTTCACCCATTATCCTGACCCCATATTTATATGTTTACACTAAAGGTTTACGATATTCCCACTCTTATTGTAATAAAGGGGATAAATGATCTGATCCCTCAGCTCTGGAAAAACATTTTGAGTCACTCGTTCAACTATTGGTGGTGAGTGTCGAGTTCCCAAATGTAAAACTTCTTTTGGTAAATCAGCTTTTCAAGTATTGCCACACAACAGTGGAATACTTTGCCAACAGAACTATTGAAGTGCACAGACTTTCATAAATTTCCATTCATGACAAAAAAAATGGCTTCTCTTCAATCAAACCTGCTGTCATAATGTAAACTGATGTGAGTGGAGTTTTTGATTTTGAGAGTGTGCAGGTGATGACTTGTTGAAGAGTGATTATGTTTTGGATATTGTAGGCATGTTTATCTGCCTGAAATTATTTACATTTTTATTGAGTGTTCAGTCTTTAATGTGTGTTTTTAATAAATGATTTGGCGTCTATGATGACATCTTTTTGGGAGTATGGATATTATCAACTGATTTTATATTGATTTTGACTGTATGCTCTTGTATTTGTATATTGATGACGATTTTACTTGTTTTTCTGTTTGAATAGCATCCAGCTGCTTTTTTTTATTTTTTTAATTTTATTAAATTTTATTTTACCTTTTATAACATTGTGTGGGCTGGGTCAGGGACTACAGGTGGAAACTAGCACCCAGAGCTATAACCTGATAGTGCATCTTTCCTTTCATGGCTAATGCATACTGTATATTGTCCCTGTTTTAAATAAAATCTATCTAAAAGTTGAGATTTTTACAAGAACACCAGGGAAAGTATTTTCTGTGTAAAATTAGGAGGCAGAAAATGGCTGGAAAAACGTCTTTGAGTTGACAAGATATTTTAAAAATAAAAAGATAAAGGATCAGTCAATAAAAACAGAACAACGCAGAAGRCGCTTACAGATGTGCGCTCACTGTACGATCAGAGACACAGATACAGTTTTTCTGGTCTCGTCAGGAAGCTGCCGGGTCACGGTGTTCTGGCTCGGTTCTCCAGGGAAACAGGTTCTAACTTTAAAACACCACCTCATCCCAAAACACTCCCCGCCCTCATCCCCATCTTGTGGGCAATCCCCACACCCAGACCCCCCCCCCCACCACCAACACCACTATCATCGCCACAGCGAAGACCAAGCAGCATCTCTCACGGCTTGCTGTTGCCATGGCAACTCCATTTTCCAGAAGCCTCCGAGCCTGGGTCTCTATACAATACAACCGGCCTTTCATGGACGCAGCGATGTGAGTGAGAGGTGTCGAGGCGTGATGTCCACCTGTGCGCGCGTGACGCTTCGCCATCTTTTTGATTGTTTTAGGAGATTTTTTTTTTTTTTTTTGCAACGCTGACCCATATTCTCATATTAGCTGTCATCTGATTGGTGCGTTTTACCGCGATTGCAGGCTCATCGTGACACAGCCCTCACAAACACTTCACCAACACTTCAACACAACGTGACGCTGGCAACATGAATGGGCCCCATTGGAAGGCTGATTAACTCCACGCACACGAGCCGGAAGTGGCGGGTTCCCACTCCCCTCACCCCCGCCATGAAAACACAGCTCTGTGTACCCCCAACCTTAATTATTCATGTCCCACTTACTCCCGACAAATTATTCAGAGCTCACTCTAATCCTACACTCCCTGTCAAAAGATCACCTGTGTGTGTGTGTACTTATTAAATGATTCCAACGAGAATTCAAATTTCATCACGCCGCGTCGATTCCTTCAGTTCCAGACGGAAAAGCCTGAGTTCATGACTAACCGTCATGAATGCTGTCAACTAATTTCTGTCATGCCCTCCTTAATAGACGAAGTATTTGCGTAAAAGAAGAAAGAGATCTGTTGCATGATGTAATGATGTGTAAGTATTTTAAAAACACATAAAATTTATTGGCTGTGTATTTGTTAGTAACTGTTCTGTTACAACACCTACAGAGGAGTCTGATACTTTAAACACTCCTTTCTTTATTCGATGTGGTGAATCTTTAACAAGAGATTTATTGTTTCAGCAAAAATGATTCACTCCTTGTTTTTAAAACGGAATATAAAAGGACAAACATTATGACTTATGACTGGTTAGTAAAATGAGACAAAAAGTAAATTACTCATGCTTTTCTTGAAACTTCATWTTAAAGTATTAATTATACTTCCTTTGACTAATGACTGAAAATATATTAATTGACATCATGTAAAACAAGTTAAAAAGGCAAACAATCACAAATGAGCTCCTTAAAAGTGAGAATATATGATAATGTTATTTAAAGAAATTACTCAAAGTAAAAATAATCTAGTAATTATTGTTTACTAGTTTGTTGTTCATAGAGAAGATTCAGCTATATTAAAACTAAATTCTGGTTCATTTACTTATAAGTCAAAAGTTGACATTTCTCTTAGCGTTTCAAAAGGCTGCAGCTTCATTCGACCTAATTATGATTAGTTTGCACTCAATGTACGTCATGGTAATGACCCTCAGCTACTACTAACCGAACTTTAGCTCAATATTAGCAGCATTGACTGGTTTACATCCATTTCTGTTTTTAATAAGGTGGATTAGTTGTGCTGGTCATCTTGAATCAGGTAATCAGTTTCTATGAGTTCTTTAAAGTCTGTCCAGTGATTAACGAGATATTTTGCTAACAGAAACTCACACACAAAGGCAGCAACATTTGTGACCATATTTTTATGACATTGGTTGATAACTAACACATAGTGAAACGGTACATTTGTAAAACCTTCAGTCACGTCAGGCTCATGTTGATGTGGTTTTATTGGACACTTAAAAAAATAAGCTCAAAYGCTGCTTTTTATCCAAATCAATCCACTTTGTATTGAAATATTTGTGATTACGACACGCATAGAAATGTGTCCCTCGTTATAAAGTTTGTTTTTTCTTGGTTTGGGTCCAAAAAAACTCTAAAGGGYAAAAGAAAGTTCCAGTAAAAAAAAAGTGATGTAGTTTTCCTACATGCTCTAAAACAGAGGTGCCCAAAGTGGGGCCCGCGGGCCAAATTCGGCCCACCAAGCCATTTGATTTGGCCCACTAGAAGTTGTCCTGGTTCCTAGACTGTAATCTCCTGTCTTATGTACATATACTATATTTACACTTAGTCTTTTCAACCATTGGTCCAACTATAGGTACAAGGAGTTGTAGTCAGATAGTCCTAACTCATGGTGGTACTTTATCTTTCAAATATGTTAAGATTAAACTTAAAATACAAGTAACTTCAAGAGACATTTATATTAGATTTAAGTCCATACCTAGAATTCCACACCTTATAAGACCACATATACCGGGTATTCAATTTTTAAATTTTGAAAAGTCCCACGAGCCTTTGTTGCCGAGCAAACGTTGAATTTTCTCCATGTCCATGGGCTGAAAAAACAAACAAAAAATGAGGGCAACCGCACTGGCTGCTAGCTTAATCATAAAAAATACAACTTTACTTGAAGTATTTGCATTTCGTGTATTATTTTATTGCATTTAACCCGCCACCCTCAGATTGATTTTAATTTTGGCCCTTTCAGGGAAAATGATTTTCAATCTTGGCCCTCTCAGGCAAAATGTTTGGGCACCCCTGCTCTAAAATGTTTTTATTTAATTTTCACTACTCTTTTTGAAGGAAGATTTTTTTTGTTTTGTTTTTTTGCTGGGTGTATCCACATAAAAGAGTTAAATCCAGATTTAATCCAGCAGAGGAAGTGTGATGACGTCTGAGATACTCCTGTTCTGCATGCGTGACATGCCCTTACCTTCCTCCTCGCTCGAGCCCCTCTCCACAGCAGGATACAGCGGCGGTGCGACGCCGGCGCTCGGTGACCCAGTCGTRCTCTTGGTGAAAATCCCACTGATGAACTTGAGCATCTTGCGGTCACGAGGAGGAGCTCGCTGGATCGTTCCTCCCTGACCCTCCTTCCCTTTCTTCAAGTCCTCGGAGAAAGGGTGCAGGTCGCCGCTGTCGAGGGTACAACTTGTACCTTTCCTCGGAGGCCTGGCCAYGTCCGGGGCAGGGGGTGCGGGTAAAGACACAGAAACCGCCTTGTACCGCTCCCCCTGAGGGCTGTCACGGGTCTTCACACCCGAGAACCCCCCGCTGATGGGAGCCCCGGGCCGGATGAGCGCCCCTCGCCCGTCGCTGTCGGCCCAGGACGCCCTGTAAGGCCCCAGGGTCGTAGCGGCCATCGACGGCGGCTGGTTGTCCCGTCGGTCTAAAGTTTTGGCGGAGTGATACAGGCTTGTGTTGAGCTCCCTCCAACATGTGGCGCTCCCTCCTGCGTGCGGCCTCATCACCACTTGAGGCGGCTGGCTGAGCTGCTGCGGGGCAGAAAAGGGGAGGCTGGAGCGTGAGCGGAGGTTCAAGTCGGCCCCGTTTTCCCCCTTYGGGAACAGGGCCGGAGGCTCCCGGTACAGCTCCGTCTTAGGGCGTAAGGCATCTGAGCGGGGCCCCTCTCTGCGCACGGGCCCCTCTGAGAAAGTCCCCCCATACACTTTGACCATTTGCCTGGCAGGCGGATGTACAAAACATGGGTCTTTGCTCTTCCCGACCGGCACAACGTCCTTCTGGAGCACCTCCTTCCTCTCGGGCTTRTCCCTGCTCTCGATCGGGCTGCCGTACTTGGCATGCACCTGTTCCACTTCCTGCTCCACCTGTGCGTTCGCCTCCCCGCCCACTTCCACACAGAGAGGTCCTTCCTCCTTTTCAGGGGCATCGCTCACATCCTCCTTCTTGTCCTCCTCCTTCTTCTTAGGGCTCCCTTCCCCCTCTGGAGGGCCCTCCGTCTGGTTCCCTGCGACATCCTCTGGCACGGCCTCAACCTTCACCAGAGTGAGGGAGATGAGGTAGGTGGTGCGTCTCTGCGTGCTGCCTGCTTGGCTCATTGGGACAGCAGACCTCAGCGTGGTGGCACCTGCTCTCTGACCTCACAGGAGCTGCACCCCTCAGTCATGGCAACAAGGCTGAGGCAGAAGGAACACAAAATCCATCAATCAATCAAAATGCTTCTGTCACATCAGGCTGCAGGAATAAAAAAATAAACATTTTTAAACCATAGATTTGGTTGGAAACATGAACATTTTCTAGAATAAATTCAAAGAGCTGACCCAGTGGTTAAACAAGTCTAGACTGTTTTTTCCCCCTCTTAAAGCCTCCATTATTCCTCTTCAATTCACATCACTACAACTGGTGTCYACCACTGATTCATTCATCTTTCCCTCTTCGCTTTCCTTTTTTTAAATTTCTGTCTAAATCTACCACAAAGACACGCAGTCAGATAAAATAATAATAAAAAAAGACATTTTGTTTTTCCCCTCAGTCTGTGCCTCAGATCGCAGCCTGGAATTATGCAACAGTCTGTACCCTCGGCTGATCCGTTTTCTTGACTAGATTATAATGAATGCAGGTTGAATAAATGCCACTTTATGGCACTGTGTGTGTCTGAGCCTCCCCACCACACACACACACACACTTCCTCGTATCATACCTTCATTTTATTCCAGTAGAATATCCAGTCACAGCTCCACGTAGGTTTGATCTGATGAATTTATCCTGCCATCAGAATGCCACTCAAACCAAACGGCATATCAAAGAATWGATAGAAATCTCTCCAGCTGGTGAATTCAAAATAAAATAAAAAACGGTGAAAGGGAATGGGGGAGAAAATGGAAATCATTCAATTGTCACGAAGCGTCTGGCAAGTGGAGCCTCCGTTCGACAATGTCATGCACAGAATTATGTGCACGGTGCGAGGGTCACTGAGAGATGCTCAAAAAACATCTGTTGTTCCGCCTGCAGAAAGGGGAGAGGGGGAAAAAGCGGGGGATTAAGAAKCCAGATTTAGGGATCCAAGCGATGCTTTTCTTGAGCCCGTATCCCTCATCTGGAGCAGCTCCTCTCGGTCACTGCATCCTCTCCTCCGAGAGCCTCATCCAATTAGCAAGTCAATAAAATGTGTCTGTGAGGCAGAGGAAGCCCAGTAGCTCACCAAAGCCTGCCCCTCCTCCTTTTCTTCCCCCTCCTCCTCCTCTTCTTCTTCTCGCTGCCACTGAAGCCTTGCAGCTCTCCTCTACCCCACCGTCAGCCTGCTGCACAACCAGCTCCGCACAGGATGCAGCCCCGGCAATTAGACCGGGAGAAAGAGCGGCTTACTGAGAGGAGGCAGCGGTGGTGGTGGTCCCTGCCCACGTTCAGATTTTTTTCTTCTTCTTCTTCTTCTTCTTTTTATCTGTGCCGACACAACAAACGAGACAGGGGGGAGAGAAAGAGAGAGACAGAGAGAGAGAAGGGAATCAACTCTGCTCCTGCCACAGCATCTGCTCTGTCTCCAGCTCTTTAGTTTCTCTCCCCCYTTTTTTCACTCCATGTTCTCGCTGAAAGAACAGCTGAGGACAYGCGGGATGCAAACATCTGAAACGAAGTAAGACCAAATCATGGAATAAATTAGATTAAGGYTGGAAAATAAAAACAAAAAAAATAATCTGACACCACCCTGTACAGGAAAAAGATCAGTCTTTACTGTGTCAGTCGTCTAAAAAGCTGATTCAGAAAAACAGATGTTCTGCCTTAAGA